CCGTCAAGAAATTCTTGATATGGTATTTTCTCACTCAAACAATAGAAAAAAAAAAAACCCGAAACAAATAGATTTCTTGATTTTCTTCGCTTGAACTGCGGTTTTCTTGCAGGAGAAGCTGATGATCAACACATTGCAATTCAATCTATCTTTGCCGACTCCATATCCGTTCATGAGACGTTTTCTAAAGGCTGCTCAATCTGACAACAATAAGGTATGTTTTGGTAAAAAATATATCTAAATGCTCTCTGATTAAGTTCGCGACGTTTTAAATACTTTGAGCTGATTATGAGAATGAAATGAATCCTTTTTTTTTGGTATACTTTCTTGAAAACCAGTTGGAGATGCTATCCTTCTTCATGGTCGAGCTTTGCCTCGTTAGTTATGAGATGCTTAGGTTCCCACCTTCATTGCTAGCGGCAGCTGCAGTTTTCACAGCCCAATGCACTCTCAACGGACGTAAGCAGTGGAGCAAAACGTGTGTGAGCTACACGAGTTACAGCCAAGATCAGCTCATGTAAGTTGGTCTTTTCTCTCTTTAATTTTAAAAAGAATTTGACGAAAAAAATAAAAAATGATAAACAGGAATATTGAGTTATTTATTTGTTTATTTGCAGGGAATGTGCTAAAATGATGGTAAGTCTGCACCAACGGGCAAGGACCGAGAAGCTTACAGGGGTACACAAGAAGTACAGCTGTTCTAAGTATGGCCATGCTGCTAAAACCGAGCCTGCTCGGTTTCTTATTGATGATGGGTTATTTTGAAAAGCATTTTATGTTTAATCTGTCGGGTGATTGATTTGATTTGGTTCGTCTGATAAAATCGTTAAGGTAGATTGGGTGGTTCGTTTGGTGCGCAGAAATCGGGCAACAGTGAGTTGCCTGTAGCTGATGGATTTTTTTTATTTTTTATTTTTTGATGTTTTGTAGTTTTAGTTCTTGGTTTTGTAAGCAGTCATCAAACTGCAAACACTTTCTGATGGTAGTTTTTCAGTTCATAAGATTATTCTTATGGAATGAATATCGCGTTTTGATTTAATTTGAAATGCAAATTGATTGAGCAAAGTGTAAAACTGAGAAGAAAAAATTGCAGACTTTTCCAACTCTTCCCGCCTTAGCCTTACCAATAGGATGGGCCGGACTAGGATTTTAGAGGTCCCGCGACTAGACCACCTTTCCAAGAAAAACTAATTGGGCCAACCCAAAATAACATGGGAAAATTACGGACATGTAGTCCCATGTGTATATATTTACATATATACATCCATTGACAATATTAATCAAAACAGGAATATATTGTGATTTTAATTTCATTAGTACGAGATTTTGATTTAACCAAATTTGATACGGTCTCTCTCTCCATTTACTGATCATGGCATGATTCTCCCGAAATCAACGCACAAAAGATGAAGAAAGCGAACTGAGTTGCCCCATTTATTTCAGTCGGAAATTTTCACTGAATTCCAATGAAAATTCTAATGTAAATATTCTGTTGAAACGAGATTTTCATAGGAGTTCTCATTAAATTTTGACGATTTCAATAACAGAATTTCCAATAGAAATATGGATGGAAACAAAATTTCAACGGAATTTCATAAGGTAATATTAATCCACTGAGGAAATGGTCATTTCAATCATCAAATTCCATAGGAGTTCTCATTAAATTTTGACGATTTCAGTAACAGAATTTCCAATAGAAATATGGATGGAAACAAAATTTCAACGGAATTTCATAAGGTAATATTAATCCACTGGAAAAATGGTCAATGCAATCATCAAATTCCAACTGAAAGTTCCAATAAGAAATTCATTGTAACTGAATATTTTTGTTGGAATAATTGCAACCGAAACTATACCATTGGAATAACTGTTGGAATTTCCATTGAAATATATTACCGTCTGATTTTCTGTTGGAATATGACATTTTTTTATTGTATGTTTATATATATTTATACATATATATAGAGAGAGAAGGAATTATATGAGAATGGTAGATATTGAAAGAAATAAGAATGATTCTAGACTGTTGGATCTGGCATATCCATGGTAATGATCTAGTCAAATATTAAATATTGTAGTCAAACATTTGATGACAGTTTGTAAATAAGTGTACAATTCGTGGTCAAAGACAAACATTTGACCACAAATTAAGATTAAACTGGATATTTGTTACCAACAACCAGCAAGTGGGGCCCACCACTACCTAACATTAACCTCACACTCACTTACGTGTCGTCCCACCTACCCATCCATTAATATTTTCACCCACCCTCACACACACACACACACACAGAGATAGGGGTGAGCCTGGGTCGGTACGGCTTGGAGATTGATAAATCTCCAAACCGTACCTAAATTCGCAGATTAGTAAAATTCGATCTCCGGAACCGTACCAAAAAATCGGTTCGGTTCGGTTTGGAGATTTTTATTTTTCGGTTTAATTCGGTTTGGTTCGGTTTGAATATTCGGAGATTTTTAATTATTATTTAATTTTTTTTTAATGACCACCTAGTTACATATTATTTTTTATATTTTTTTTCAAATCCAACATTCACCAATACATAATCTTACTAAAGATTTTATTTATAAATCAACTTTAGAAGTAAATATAAATTTTGGTTAAGACTAAATTTGTATAACTAACATTGAAAATTTAAAATTCAGACAAAATATAATATAATTTTTTATTAAAATAATATTTCTTTAAACTTTCGTATCATGTTAGTTATAAAATAGAATAAGACTAAGCATTGACAAATTTAAGTAAAGTTCAAATATTTTTTAAAAAAACATTTCTTTAACCTTTCATCCTATTTTAAATATATTTTTTTTTAAAACAGGAAAAAATTAGGAAAAATTCAATTGTAGACTAAGCATAAAATTTAAGTGAAACTTAATTGTTATTACTCTATTTTATTTACATTTTAAAAATTCTCAAATTATATAGGATCAAAGTTGACATAAAATATATTAAGAGAAAAGTGCATTTTTCGTCCTGTAAGTTTACCCCTCTGGACAATTTAGTCCTCTTCGAATAGCCATTTTGATTTTCGTCCTCTAACTTTTAAAAAAGGTTGCAAATTCGTCCCCGACTCGCCGGAAACCCGTTAATTGCCCGGAAACACGCACGTGACACGCACGTGATGGAAATTAACGGCTCTTTCGGCCGACGTGGTGCCGGATTTCACACGCGGACATCTTTACTTACACGTGGCGGCCGAAATCAAAAGAAAAAAAAAAAAAATTTCCACGTGTATACACACGTGGAATTGGAACGTTGATAAAATGAATCGGCCTACTCCCTACTGTTTGTGAACCATTTCCATCTTCCTTCAACCCTAATTTCCCAAATCTCAAGATCCCCAAATCTTCACGAACCCTAATTTTGAAAATTGTTGATTTCGTTCTTCAAAAGTGTCGATTTCGTTCACTTTCAACATGTCTGAGTCGTCGCATTATACCGGTTTATTGGAATGTCGGTGCAGAAAAATGGCTGTTATTCGCACATCATGGACGGCCGACAACCCGGGCAGGAGATTTCATTCTTGCCTCGAGTACAAGGTACGGTGTTCTGTTAACGACGAATTATATGATATTTAGGGTAGAATTGTATGATATTTTTGGTAGAGTTGCTTCTGTGTTTGATAGTGTTCTGATTCTTGCAATGTTGGGTTTTTTCACGGCTGTGTGAAGGGTGTTTGATTGTGTCCTGGCTGTATTATACATTGTTTTAACCTTGTTAATGTACAGAATATGGAGGAAAAAATCAACCTTGTTTTAATTTTTTTTTTTTTTTTTGGTAATGTACAGAATGGAGGCTGTGATTTTTTCTCTTGGGTCGACCCTCCTACCTGTGACCGGCCTGAAAAAATCATGCCTGGGTTAGTGAAGAAGATGAAGGCACTGGAGAGAGCAAATGAAAACTTCAAATTTGAGAATACCAAATTGGAGGAGAAGGTTGAAAAACTGGAGGAGAAGATTGAAAAATTGCAGAAAAAGGTTGAAAAATTGCAAGCATTGAACAAGAGGTTGGTTGAAAAGAAAGAAAAAATGGAGATGAAAATGGGGTTTGCATTGGCTATAGCAACTTTGTTGTGTGTATTTTTGCTATATAGAATTAGGTGAAGACTATGGATTAAAGAAAGTTGTGTAATGTGTTTATTTTCTCTTGTAATCTTCTATGTACTCTTGTATTTTGTGTGTACCTCATTTCGGAACATCTATGTAATGCACTTGTGGTTTCAGTGAAATGAAATTTCCTTTAGTTTGCAGACTTGTCTCACTTGTGGTTTCAATGTATCAACATTTTTTGCTGTGTGATGAATGAAAGATTCATACAGTGTGCAGGCAAGAGTATGGGGCATGGTTTGTTCTACTTTTTTAAGGTTAACTACAAATTGTTCAATTGGTATGTGCAAATTGCAAAAACACAAGTCAATCATTTTGGCAACAAGGTTTATGTTTGAAGAAGAGAAGCCGTCCTACCTTTATTTTAAATTTGACAGGCCATTTTAGTAAACCCAACTTCCTAAACCAACAACCAGCCTACATGTTATTGGAACATATAAATTAAATAAACAAAAAAAAAGAAAAAAGTGATCATAACCATCAGCTTGCCTAGACTCATCAGCTTCCTATCCTCACTGCAAAACAAAACTCAACTGCACAACTCAACCATTTCTGATCACAACCATCACAACTCAAAGGCAATGCATAACTGATCACAACCATCACAACTCAACACAAACAAATTCAAAAGTAGAACAATAATCATAACTGATCATAACCATCACAACTTATGTGTTCCATAAACTAAACAAAAAAATAACACAACACAAGTGTTTTACAACCACTAAGCATAACAAAATTAACACCAAAACAAAATTAAGTTTCCTGCCATTAAGATTCCAAACAAAAATCTAACAATATGCTACCATTCAGTTTTCCACCAAAATAAACAAACAAATCCTGCAAATGTTTTACAACCAAATCAACTAAATTCAATTCTTTCTAGACTTTTCTCCCTTCTCCTTTTTGATTTGCTTCAACTTCTGAGATGAGCTACCAAAAGAGAGGTCATTTTGAATCCTTTCAAACATTGCTGGAGTTCCATCTCTTGCATTGATGGCCTCCAACTGCTTACCTCTAAAGTATGAATCATCTCCTAATCCCATTTTCAGTTGTTCAAGGGGTGTCGGTCCCTTTGTCATCTCAGGCTGTGGAGTTGCACAAAACTCTTGTGTCAATTGTGATACAAAGCCCTCATCATCCCAGTCAGTTTCTTCTACAAATGGAGCAGGTGGTGCCATGCTTGGCCCTTCTTTCTGTTGAAGAAAAAACACAGTCATGGCACCATTTTTTNCNNNGNNNNTNNNC